GTTTTATGTGACCGCGTATGTTCACATCTATTAGTATAAACATAACCGTAGGAAGCCTTTAGTGGTGGTTGTGCATTTGTGTATCGCACTTATACTCTTTCTCTCATCCTTACTCGATGTAGTTTTCTAAGCTCTTTCCCAAACTCTCTTAGCCTTGTCTGGTAGTTTCATAGTTAACAATTTCCACTAGTATTTATTCGGTATCGGCCATAATGATTTATTGCCGCTGGCCGACGGCTCAGGTACGATCTTTTGTAATTTATTCGTTTTAGTTAGAGAGGTCACTTGCATTTTGTCCAATCACATGGTTTGTCTCCTTGCTATTAGGTTGTCCGGAAATTAATGCAGGTTTTGATTTTCAACCGCAATAAGTCATACACTTTTCATTCCTAAATAGGTTGCAAAATACTATTCGATAGAGCAAAGCAAGCTCTACAAGAAGGCTATCTTGCTTTTACAAGTGCTTTCATTCAACTCGAGTTCTGAGCCAAAAACTAAAAGTTCCAAACTGCTTGAAAGATCGAGAAAAAACGTAACTCAGTTCAAAAAAGTCTCATAAAAATTCTAACTGGTTCATGCAGACACTCTCCACATAAGACATCTATATACGCCGTTGCCATATTTTTTTCTCCGTTAGAAATTAAGAAGAAGGAAAATTATGTACATTTGCCAAAGTGACGGTGTGCCGTCTCCACATAAGTAGTTGTATTCTACAAACATGTAGAAGTACAAACGTAAGTTTTCAGCTCTTTACAAGCTTTGGTTCTCGAGAAATATCGAATATAGCTTTCCCTGGTCAGGTGGTCCAAGCTAAAATTCAAATTTCTCGAGAATTAAAGCTTGTAAAAAGCTGAAAATTTATGTTTGTACTTCTGCAGGTCTGTAGAATACAACTTCTTATGTGGGGACGGCACAGCATCACTTTGGCAAATGTACGAAATTTTCCGTTTTTTTTTGAATTCTAAGATAGAAAAAATACGGCAACGGCGTATTTAGATGTCCTATATGGAGAGTGTTTGCATGAACTAGTTGGAATTTTTATAGGACCTTTATGAATTGAGTTACGATCTTTCTCGATTTTTCGGGCAGTTGGGTCTTTTTAGTTTTTGGCTTAAAACTCGTGGTGGATCAGAGCCATTGCAAAGCAAGAGAGCCATCTTGTAGAGCTTGCTTTGCTCTATTGAATGGTACATGGCGACCTGTTTAGAAATGAGAAGTGTATGACTTAATGCGGTTGAAATTCAAAACCTGCATTAATTTCCGGACAACCTAATAATAAATAGTTGTTGGGAACTGACTTCGTTGAGGCCGGCGAATACCAATCACCTTATGTAAGACATTTCCATCAATCTTAGCACTAGCTGCTCTGCGGAACCATGCCGAGCCTTACATGGAGCTTCCGGCTTCGAACTATACAGCGTTAATAATTGAAGTTGAAATTTTAGAAACATGAGCATTGCTGACGACTAAGTACTATTAGAGACGAAATCCAATAATTTCTCAAGACCCATCAGAAGAATGGGAAAAGGAGAAAGGAAAACCCATGGCCATACCACCTGGGAATGCATGCTCTCCGCCCGTTTATTTTTACTTATCGTCTTAGCTACGCTTTTGGGGGAAGAATGTAACTGTTCTTTAAATGCATAAGAACGTAGAGCATTATACGTCACTGCAATCGCCTATTTGTTATATCTTTGGCAGCTTTCAATGGCAGCTGCGGACAATTTATTTCGAACTATTCTTTTTGCAAAATTTGCCCAAAATTCGGAAAAATTTTTTTTTCGTTTTCCGGGTAATTCATGTCCCAGAGGCTCCTCCCATAATTTACAGAAACATCTGTACTGTAGACATGGTTACTCAATGCCCCGATTGTTCCCCTACTTGATGTTTCACCTAAACGCTCTACTTCACTTGTTCTCCATATCGAGCAAATTTGGTTGATTTTTGGCCAATTATCTGAAGCCATTCCCCATCCATTTGACCGTCCACGTGAGGACCCCAAAAGAACAACACAAGGATTCCGATGTTTGGGAACCACGTTCATCCGAAAATCATACTAGTTTTCCTGTGTCGCTCATTTTCGCACAAAGTAGTATTATTTTGAATTTGTAGTAACATTAGTATCATTAACCGTATTTATCACGTATTATTAGAACAAAACAACCTTTAAATGAGGCTGTCTTCAATCAAACTCTTTCAATCCTTCGTCGACACAAGAAAGTAGGATGTCGGTCCTCTCGACCGCATCGCGCACAGCGCGTGCGGGTCACGCAAATGCGGTCATCGTGGAATTCCGCGCACCGCCCACACAGGCGATACACAAATGCACAACCACCACCAAAGGCTTCCTACGGTCTTTCATATGTTTCTACTTATAGATGTGAACACACGCGGTCACATAAAACGTATAATAAAAACAATATGCAATTTAACGTTACCTAATTGAAAATACACAAGCTTTCCAACGAGTCCAATTTCCTTCGAGGGTTTTTGTAGGTTTCTTCTCTTGTCTTGATAATTAGTTTTGTCATATTCAATGTCACTCCGCTGCTACTCGTTATGTAAACGTAAAATCTGCTGTTCGTGCACGTGATGCTTGGCAAAGCACATTACACACCTGCAAATTTTTTTCTAAAAATTTTGAATAATAGGTTTTTCAGGCACCGCAAATGGTCTGAATTTCTTACCAAATGATTCCAAACCTTTGTTTCTCGCACAAAGTTGGAAAGTTTTTTGATTTTCGAATTTATTTAGCTAATATGTTTTGCATGTCCTTTGAAACCAGACTCTCAGTCAAAACATTTGTAATGCTAATTTCTTGCTTAATGCGAAATTGGAGCAGAAAAAAAATTAGTGTTATGTCTCAAAAAGATTCCATCTGATGTGTGAACCACACTTCATCTATAAAATTAGCCTTACAGGAGCGCTTGGATTTCTTATCAATTCTTTTACAAGTTTGATCGTGCGTCAAGATGAGTTAGAGATCGAAAAAACTAGGGTACTCTGTTTGCAACCGCATATAAAGTGCGGTTCATAATTATACGAACACCCAAAATTTTGTATGTTTTTGGTCTTTCTGGGAGAAACTCAAAAAGCCGTTGGTACCATGCGATAGAACACAGCCGAAAACGGTATATGATCCATAAGAATAGAAATGGATGTCAATCTCGGGAGTGTTTGAGCGCCTAGCGTGGATTTTTAGCGGTTAATAATTATACGAACAACTCGAGCAAAGGTCCATTTTTTATTCAAGATCGCAGTCGTTCGAGTCCAAATTTTTTGTAAAGCTACAGTAACAAAGTCTGACGTGTCCGCTACACACTGAACCCAGTGCAGTTTGACAAGAGGACCGTTACTTTTTTCAGAAGGCTCTAAATGCTTTTGGAGTGATTAGGCTTCAAAAACATCCGTTCTTCTACGGTTTACGCGCTCTAATTAGCTTCTACCAAAGCTATGAGATAAAATAAGCTCTTTCTATGGGTATCTTTTTTGACGCTTAGAAAATCTTTGCGTTTTAGTGCCGTTTTTCAACCAAGTTCCAACCTTACCATAGAATTAGCACGATTTCGAGCCTCAAAACTCAGCTTCTCTCTCGCGCAAACATTTGATATGAAGCCGCTGCATTATTTACATGATGATGTTTCTGTGCCAGAGTTTTTGGGTTTTTTGTAGAACTGATCTTGAGGCTGTGGAGCTACAAACCAAATAAAGGTGCGATTGCAATAGTAAAAGCAGTGTTTTGGATGAAATGACGTCTGCGTGGCCAAAACAAACGCTCAAGGCTGCTGATTTTTTCTAGCCAAATATACAGTCTTGTGAACTTCTACACACTATATGCTTACTTCATTGTACGGCTTCAGAAGCTGAGTTTTGAGGCTCGAAATCGTGCTAACTCCAAGCTAAGGTTGGAACTTGGTTGAAAAAAGGCACGAAAACGCAAAGATTTTCTAAGCGTCAGACAGAATACCCAACGAAAGAACTTCTTTTATCTCATAGCTTTGGTAGAAGCTAATTAGAGCGCGTAAACCGCAGAAAAACGGACGTTTTTGGAGCCTAATCACTCCAGAAGCATTTAGAGCTTTCTGAAAAAAGTAACGGTCCTCTTATTGAACAGCACTGGGTTCAGTGTGTAGCGGACACGTCAGACTTTGCTACTGTAGCTTTACAAAAAATTTGGACTCAAACGACTGCGATCTTGAATAAAAAATAGACCTTTGTTTGAGGTGTTCGTATAATTATGAACCGCTAAAAATTCGCAATAGGCGCTAAAACACTTTCGAAATTGACATCCATTTTCATTCTTATGGATCATATACCGTTTTCGGTTGTGCTCCTTTACGTGGTACCAACGGCTTTTTGAGTTTCTGTCAAAAACTCCAGAAATTTCTGAAATTTGGGGTGTTCGTATAATTATGAACCGCACTGTATAGGCTTAACGAACGAAGCAAGATGATGCGATTAGGTACCGTCAAAGTATTCACCAAATAATATTGCTTTCCAAACTCACGGTCCGCCAATTGCTGACATGTCCTCGTATTCCAAAAGCTGCAAAGAAAATTTGGATGAAGTTGTCTTTTTTGTAGGCAGTGTAATGGCAGGGTACAATTATCGCCAAAGTTTTACAAACGTGTGATGTTGTACTATTCAAGCACGATTTTCTTGCAAATCTTCAACAAAAATTTGTGAATAGGTTTTAGTTCTTTTGTCATTCTCTTCCAAATCTTACCAGCACACGTCTTTGGATTTTGCAATAAAAGTAGGATGTGGAGGAGTTGCGGGAGAACAGATGACAAAGACTTTCAAAGTTTTGTTTAGCATTATCTCAACAAATTTTCCTTCAAATGCACCAAAAGTGAAGACCTTTGGCAAGCGTTGTCTGATGTATGTGAAGGAGTCAAAGGACCAAGCGGATCATCTTTTGATTTGGAGAATTTCGGGACCCAGTGGACAAAAATGGTAGGCAGTAACCTGTATTACGAGCCACTGTAGTTTTCGTTTAAGATGGGATATCCTTTGGTTACCGCAAGATTTTCAAGCGACAAGTTGGAGATAACACAGCAGCGATACACGCTCAATACTTCCATTCAAGAACATGAAAAATATCGTTCCCCTCGTCAGAGGTTGGTGTAGGCTGTTCAATTAAATACTATTTGTACTGATCAGTGCTATTTGTAGTTACAAATGGGATGTACCCATATGGCTTAAAACTAAAACAGGCGACACCATATTGGAATGGTTGAAAGCAAGTAAGTGTGTACAAGATGAGTAAGTTTGGTTGAGAGCGGAGACCGAGTGAAGAAACCGTTTTGGGAGCCTGAGCCATTTAGCTGTACATCAAGTAATCCTTGCTGGATACATATAGTGTTCCGGCTGTGGCGAAAATGAATAAACTCTGTGCAAGAATAGCTACGTTTAGAATTTTGGCAATTTGCGCGTGCAGAATACGGGCATCTTAGACGTAGCTCTGTTTCAATCGCAGTCAGGAAATCGGCATGCCGGAATTTCATGTAGCGAGAGTTTTGTTCTACCGTCAGTCGACTATATGTGAATTTGTACACCATACTACTCACAGCATTTACTATTAATTCATCAACAAAATCTATTTCATTAGAACTATTGGTGCAAATGTACTGCCTATCCTATACAACTTGGCAAGCGAAGTTTTGAGCATGGAAATTTGAAATGTAGCGCATGGTGTGCAATATACTTGGGTCCGAATCGAATAGAAATTCGATCATTTAAATAAAACATTCGAATATATTCGTCTTCGAAATGCGATATTCGGAGTTCTTCCATTTTCGAATAATATTTGAAACTCGAATAATTGAGAAAACGGGGTTTCGAATAAAATTCGAAAACTCAAATAATCAAAAAGCGAGGTTTCGAATATTATTCGAAAACTCGAATAATCAAAAAACAGGGTTTCGAATAGGTTTTATTCGAATGTTTTATTCGAATGTTCATTCGAATTCTTATTCGAATGTACTCCGTATTCAGATTATTCGACTTTGTTGCAGAGCCAACTACTGAGTATCAAGCTCACTTCGTCCGCGTTTTTTTCTTTTTTCGCAAAACTCGGTGATGCATCTTTTGCAACCGGTATAAATTTGAACTGTATGGAGAGTCGCATTCTTTCGGCTGCTTGCGACAGTAAAAAAATCATATGTGGAATTTAATTAATGTTTTTTTTTTCGATCAATGAGATTGTTCGCACTGTTATTGGCACCAAATCAGCAAAGAAGATATCAAATTCAAGCTCATGTTCTGAGATCATACTGAATACAAGGGGGTAAGTGAGGGTGCGGATATGAATAAAAATTTACTTTATCGATTTTATCGACTTTTGGAAAATTTTGAGCTACGAGGTTGGAAGTTGGTACAAGGGGGTAAGGGAGGGTGCTGATTGAAAGCGAAATCTATTTTATTGATTCCAGCAATTTTTGGAAAATTTTGAGCTAGGAGTTGGTATAGGGGATAGGGGATACTAGGGGGCTGATTATGATTGGATCGGTTTTAGCCAGATATGTCGGCAAGTTTGAGATGTGATTGCTATAGTTATTCGAGAAAACATTTGAATATTTATTCGAAATTCGACTTCCAATGTTCGAATATATTCGATATTCATTCATTCGACATTTTTGATTTTCCGAATTTATTCGAAATTCATTCCTTCGATATTTTTGATTTTCCGAATTTATTCGATATTCGTTTATTCGGGATTTTTTATTTTCGAATTTGTTCGATATTCGTTTATTCGAAATTTTTCCTTTCGAATTTATTCGATATTCATTCATTCGATGAAAAATTATCGAATTACCCAAGTGATACACAATACACGTGTGTATACACTATATGCAATACACATGCTGAGTCGGAGTTAGCGTCAAAAAGACTTTGTCTTAATTTTAGTTTCAAACATAGTTTCAATCATGTAAGTAGGTTTGCAGGAGCGGCTAAGTTTGAGAGGCTTTGCGCAAATTGAGTTTGATGTACTTCATAAATGAGGGAACAATTTGGCCAGGTAAACTACGATGCATAACCTTAGAGCATAAACTCTGGTTCTTGAGCCTGTCATTGTGCACAACATTTTGAACGGAAATAATGAAGCATTATCTAAAGCAAAACTGAGGCGCAATCGATATAAAGCTAATCGTTGCAGCTTTCTGGGCTCTGGCAGCGGAATGATGATGACATGGGAAGATATTCACCGCACGAAAAGTCTTCTTGCCGCTGCTCCATCTGAACACTGCATAGATGCCATTAATTTTATCAAACCTTAATTTGTCGCTCTAAAAAAGTCTCTCAAATTCTCAGTAGCTTTCACGTAGCTTTCACAACAGTGAAAGGTGAAATCAAAAAGCAGCAATATTCATGAAAAATGCATAACTTTTGGAACTGCTACTTGAAACTGCTATAGCAGTTTCAATTAGTCAACGTCATCCAAAAGCTTTTTTGTTTGTTGTAGACGAATATGATACGAATCTGGTACTCCAAAGCTACAATGGTAATCGGAAGAGTCAAGTAGTGGCCTTGATCCGTAGAATTCACAGAAATGAGAAAACCTTTGCGCGCAAATAATCTCGCTTTTAGTCTATTGGTAGCAACTAGCGTTCTATCGATTTCATCAACCCAACCTGCAGAATTGGCAGTTAAGGCTGCGTTCATACTGATCCGGAAATTCGGGAGCAGTTCCAGCACAGTGCTTAAACTGAACGCACTGCTATGACTGTTCCCAGACTTTCTGATCAGTATGAAAGCAGCCCCGAAGCCTTCTGTAGGTCGTCAGTTTTAAGCGTTTCTCGCAACGTGCAGAGCAGAGGATTTAGCCCAAGTTTGGGCACGAGAGCGGCGATTGACAATCTGCAATCGTTCAAGGAAAAAAGCAAGGGAGGTCGGCTCGGCAGGAATTGGCTTTCAGGTCTTCAAAACAAACTGTTCTTTGAGCCCTCCGAAGCCTTTCGCTAAGTCTCTCCTTTAGCCTTATAAAAATTCTCATTGATTATATCCTGACATTTTTACGTGCTGTGATGACGCACACAAAGGACTGAAACGCTTGACCCTTCAACAACTTCGAAATTAACAAATAAAAAATGGCGAAGTATATGCGGGGTAAGGAAAATAAAACTCAAAAGAAAACACGTAATCTTAGAACGCACAAGGTCATTGAAAATGAGCATGTGTTCTAACAAGCGATTTCATTTTAAGGCAAGGAAATGACTTAAAAAATGCTCTAAACTGGTGTTTACTAGACGAGATTTTTGAACGAAGGAAGGTTCGTATGCCAAAGTCCAAAAATCTTGTGAATCTTCCAGTACTTATAGAATCCAGTCACGCCCTAAAAGCTTTTCTGGCCAACTGTTGATTGGAGCATAAAAAGACTTCACTTAACATTAGGTTCTTCAACTTTTTACATAGATACTGTTCAGTGCAATATTGTATGTCAATACAACTTTGGTGTTATACGATCAAATGTGCGCTAATCAAGTCATCTGTTTATGGCATGATTCTGAATTTTGCATATGTGTGATAGAACATGTTGGAGTGTTACTCGTATACAGGAAGAAGCCCTTGGGTGGCAAATGTCAAGCTGGAAATTGTTTCAGGGAAAAGCAAAGGGGATTGTAAGGGTCATATGCATATACAGTCTGGCCCAATTCTAACCAGGCCCAAATTGGCATGGCGGTAGTCCGCTAGGGTATTGCATCACATTTACGTTCAGGTAGTCTGCTCTCTCCTCAATCTCTTCGCTCTCTGCGACAGCGCGCGTATCAGCGCAAACCGTTAGCGCTGCTTGCGCGCAAATTCAGCCGACGTTCGGCAAGGGGTTTTCGAAAACGAATTCCCCTTTGACCCAAATTTTTTTACGATTTCCCCTTTGATCCAAATGCGACCTTGTGATTGTGCAAGCAAAACTGTAGCAAGAAAAACTTTTTTTTATTAAAAAGCTCTATCGGATCATAGCAAAAGAAGAAAAAAACCTATCATTTTCATTTTTAGAGATCTAGAAAAGGTGACAACAACAAAGTTTCTATGCAGCAATCACCCCCGCCCCGTCAAGGCTGCGCGATGATAAGCCCTTTCAAAATCTTAAGGCCAATATATGCGAGTAACCCGGCAATGGAATCTAGAACTCCATAACTGTTCCAATCGAGCCAGTTTTTGCTCCTTTTCCTCTCGCAGTCGCAGCAAATCGCTGCAATCAATATACTATGTGATTGAAAGGTAGAAGGAACTGCAGAAAAACCGCAACATTTGATGAACGCAATAATGCAAACATTACAGACGACAACTCATCTGTTTAGGAGTGACCGTTGGTCTTATGGATATTCAGAGAGTGGGAAATGGGAACATTCTACTGACATTTATTCGTGAATCAGATGGTGATAAGCCCACTAAATTGGAAAATTAAGATTTTTAACTAGTAAGCTTCGGATCACCAGGATGATTCACGACAAATGCATATTTTGCGTCTAACGTTAGATAATCACCAACTCTTTCTGGAAAAGATCCCTGCAAAGTGGAAATATTACGACCAGCAAAGCTCTGACGAGGCAAAATAGGCTCCAACGAAAAAAACCCCATTTCTCAACCGTCTACTCTGAGATGTAGTAAGCAGAAATTTACTCAGTTTAGGCAATGCTGTCAATCTCAAATCTATTCTTTTTTTTTCGCAAAAAATTTGAAGGCACCTGCTTTAGCCTCTTGAAAGCGGCATGCTTTTGAATTCCTGAATTGAAGAGAAGAGCAAGAATGCCTCACCTTTTGTTTTCGCTACTTTTCAAACAACTCGAATTTGAGTTACAATCTCTCATTTTCACACTCTGTACAAGATTTTCCATAATACATGATGCACTCTCATAAACATTCGCCTCTTTTCAATGGGTATGCAAGAAGAGCAAGTAGGAGAAAGAACCCATTCACATCATATCGACAACGCAAATCAAAACATCTATCAAGACCTCCATGGAAATCAAACCTCCAATGGATCAGCTGACGCAAGAAAATCATATTCGCGTCTTGTGACAAGCACGATACTTTAGAACGAACAAAGTTCCACAAAAATGAAAGTATATAAGAATCAAGAGGAGAAGTTCAGAGCGTAGAACATTCTCACGAGTGGCTTATCCTAGATGCAAAAGAGTCAGAGAAACGTGCACATATCACGGATCATTCTCATAATCAGGATCAAACAATGCGTAAAGCAACCATAAAATCGTGCGAATTTGACTGCGGCCATCGCGCCCAT